TGAGTCCCTGAGATCCTGGTCCACCCTACTCATTTGCCCAAGCCTTTTCCATTGGATCCTTAACACAAGCAGCCTTGCTCACATATTGTGGACTTTTTCACAAAATAAATGTCCATATACCTCCAAAAAGCAGTGGCCGGTCTGTCTCTTGCTAAGTGCCCCCAAGCAGCGACCAGTCTCAACTTGTAACCCCAATCAAGTAATCTCAAGTCTGGCATAAGCGGCAGCCAGTCTTGGCCTGGAACATCACTTCGACTAGGCAACCTCAAGTGGCAGCTGGCCTGAGCTTCCGTCACAGTGCCCACTAAAGGGTTCCAGGCCCACCACTAGTGGCAGCAAGCCTTAGTTCACAGCATAGTCAGTCTCTCCCAAGCACCTCCAGCACAAGCGCAACCAACGGCAGATCACTTTGGAACCCCTCCCAAGAGGCTCCTGTCCCAACATACCCTGGCTGGCTTCAGACCACCACCAACCAGCTCCACAAACATACCAAAGGGCATACTCAGCTGGCACCAGAGTCCTATTAAAGCAACATCTTGGTGGGTGGGGCCAGCACCTGCACAACAGTTAGTCTGCTTTAGCCATGGCCAGCCCTCACAGAAGGTCAACCCTACCCACCGATATGCCAAAGCATTCAAGGCCCACACAGACACCCAGCTCAGGTAACCAGGTAGATTGTGCCACTGAGCCCCACAGAACACCTTCTACATAAGGCCACTCTACCAAGATGGAGAGACATGCTGAACTACTTAATACATAGAAACAAATAGAGGGTCAGCCAAAATGAGGACACAGAAAGATGTCCCAAATGAAAGAAGACAAAACTCCAGGAAAAACTACGTAATGAGTTGCTACAGTGTTGTGTTATAGGTGATGTGAATTTTTCAACTCCATTATAATCTGATGGGACCACCATCACATATGTGGTCTAACATTGACCAAAACATTGTTATGCAGTGCATAACTTTAAGGAAGTCGAATAAACTTAACACTGTAGGCCAACATATGTATACAGATCACCAAACAGCAGAATATACATTTTTCTCAAGTGTGCAATGGAATATTCTCCAGGATAGACCATATATCTTAACCCAAACCAGTCAACAAATTTTAAGACTGAAATCATAAAGTATCTCTTCCAATCAGTTCAAGAAACTAGAAATCAATCCCAAAAGGAAAAGAGAAATCCACACATACATGGAAATGAAAACAATGGCTCAAAGAAGAAATCAAGACATATTAGAACTATCTTGAAATAAATGAAAATAAAAACATCAAAATATAGGGGATGCTGTGAAAACAGTGCTAAAAGGAAATATGTAGCTATAAACACATTTGTAAAGATCTCAAATCAAGAACCTACCTTTGTAATTTACAGAACTATAAAGAACTAAACCTATAGCTAGCAGAAGGAATGAAATAAAAGATTACAGCAGAGAGAAATGAAATAGAGAACAGAAATAGAGAAAAATCAATGAGAACCATGAATTGGTTCAAAAAGATCAACTATGGGAAAAACTGAAATGAAAGTGGGGACATTACTACCAATTTTGTAGAAATGAAAGAATTATAAGATAGTACTACGAAGAACTGTATAGCAATAAATTGGATAACCTACAAAAGGACAAATACCTAAAAACAGTCAGTTATGAAGTAACAAAATACAAACAAGACCTGTAAGTGGAAGGACATTGGATCAGTAATGAAAAAACCTAACAAAACACAGGATCAGATGACTTCACTGGTGAATTCTACCACACAAAAAATTAATACCAGTCCTTCTCAAGCTTTTCCAAAAAATTAAAGGAGAGTGAACATTTCCTAATTAATTGAGGCCAGCATTACCCTGATACCTAAGCCAGAGAAGACACTACGACAGGAAAATTACAGAACATTCCTTATGAATATCAATGCAAAAATCCTCAATATGATAATAGCAAAGCAAATTCAACAGCAAATTAAAAAGATTATAAATCATGACCAAGTAGGATTTATTCTTGGAATGCAAGGATGGTTCAACATACAAAATTAATGTAATATACCACACATTAACAGAACAAAGGGAAAACAACACATGATCATTTAAATAGATGCAGAAAAAGCCTTTGACAAATTTTAACACCCTTTCATGATAAACACGCTCAACTAGGAATAGAAGGAAACTACTTTGACATAAAGGCCACATATGAAAAAGCTATGTATACACAATGAAAGGTTGAAAGTTATTCCTACAAGATCAGAAACAAGGCAGGATATCAGCTTTGCCATTTCCATTCTAGTTCTAGTACTGGCAGTTATAGCCAGAGCAATTAGGCAAGAAAATAAAGGCATCCTAATTGGAAAAGAAGTAAAATTATCTCTGTTCGCAGATGATTTGATCTTATATTTGGAACTCCCTAAAGATTATACACAAAACTGTTAGAACTAATAAATCCAGCAAAGTTGCAGGATACAAAACCAACACAAAAATCAGTTGTTTCTATAAACTAACAATGAACAACCCAAAAAGGAAATTCAAAAAACGATTCCACTTGTAAAAACATCAGAAAGAGTGAAATACTTAAACTAAACTAAGGAGGTAAAGGATTTGTACACCGAAAACTACAAAATATTCCTGAAATAAATGGAAGACAACAAATAAATGGAAAGACATGCTGTGTGCATGGATTGGAAGACAATATTGTTAAGATGACATACTACAGATGGTAATCTACAGAGTTAATGCAATACCTTGTCAAAATTCCAGTGATGTTTTTAGCAGAGACAGAAAATTTTATCTTAAAATTCATATGGAATCTTCAGGGGAATCCTAGTAGCCAAAACAACCTTTGAAAAAGAAAAAAAGTTGAAAGTCTCACACTTCCTGATTTTAAAATAGTAATTAAAATAATGTAGTACTGGCACACAGACAGACATAGACCAATGGAATAAAGCGCCCAGGAATAAACCCTTGCACAGATGGTCAAGTGATTTTTGATAATGGTGCCAAGACCATTCAACGGGGAGAGTTTTTTCAACAAATGGTCCTAGGAAATCCAAACAGGATAGTCATATATACAAAATAATGAAGTTAGACCTTTACCTACTAACACAATATATAAAAATTAACTTTAAATGGATCAAAAAACCTAAATATAAGAGCTAAAACTATAAAACTCTTGGGAGAAACATAAGGGAAAAGGTCCATGAAATTAGATTTGGCAATGATTTCTTGGATATCGCAACAAAAGCACAAGCTACCAAAAAAAAGAGAAATTGGACTTCATCTAAATTACTTTTGTACATCAAAGGATAAAAGGATACTACCAACAAAGTGAAAAGGCAACCTACAGAATGGGAAAAATATTTGCAAAACATCTGATAAAGGATTAATATCCAGAATGTATAGAGAACTATAACTCCACACACAAAACAACCCAATTAGAAAATAAGCAAAGAACTTGAATAGACATTCCTCCAAAGAAAATATACAAATGGCTAATAAACCCTTGAGAAGACACTCAACACTGATCATTAGAGAAATGCAAATCAAAAACACAATAAGATAGCACTTCATACCCATTAGGGTGGTTATTATAAATCTCCCCACCTCCCAACCCCACCCCCATCCCCCAAAAAGCAGAAAATAAGTGTTGGGGAGGATATGGAGAAGTTCAAACCTTTGTGCATTTTTGCTGGTAGGGTTGAAAAATGGTTTAGTCACTGTGGAAAACAGTATGGCAGGTCCTCAAAAAATTAAACATGGAATTTTCATATGATACAGTACTTCTGAGTATATATCCCCAAAAGTATTGAAAGCGGGGATTCAGGTACCTGTACTCCCTTGTTCATAGCAGCATTCACAATAGCCAAAAGATGGAAACAAGTGTTTGACAGGTAAATAAACAAAATGCGATATATATACATACAATAGAATATTGTTCAGCCTTAAAAAGGAAGGAAACTCTGATGAACCTTGAACATTATACTAAGTAAAATAAGCCAGACACACACAAAAAGACTATGACATCATTCCACCTACATCAGATACTTTTGCTAACAATCGCAGAGAGTGGGGTGGAATGGGGAGTTACTGTCTAATGGGTACAGAGTTTGGGAAGATGGAACTCAGCAAAAAAAAAGAATATAAAAACAGATCAACTTGTAACAATTTGGATTGATCTAAAAACAAAATGTTGCCTCAAATGAGCAAACTATGATATGATTCCATTTGTACAAAGTCCCAAAATAGGCAAAACCAAGCATGCTCTTTAGAAATACACAGTATATATGGAGAAAAAAAAAAAATCCAAGAGGACAATTACTGCAAGAGTCAGCACAGTGGTGGTATTACTTCTGGGATCAAGGAGGGAGATACAATTTTATAGGTGTACAAATTTGACTTTTAAGGTACTGAAAAACAGGTTTCTTTGCTTAAGCAGTGGGCACATAGGTGCTTATAATTATTCTTGGAACTGTAATGTTTATGTAAATCTTTTGTATATATTTCACAATTTTTTAAAAAGCAATGACCCCACCCATTCCATGCCCTCCCTCGAAAAAAGAAGAAAAATTAACTTTATGATTTACTTACCAGACAGATGGTTTATACTTTGAAGACTGGAAAATCTAAAATACCACAGTGATTACTTTTCAGTCTTGTCATTGAAAACTTTTCCTTCAAAATAGCATCTATTCTGCTTTCCCTCTCAGAAATAAAATAGTTCCAAACACTTAATTTCTCAGATATTTTAAGACCATGGACCCAAATAGATCTACATTATGACTTTACTTGGTAGTAACTCTTCACAAAACATTCACTAGATATGAGTTAAATGTTCTTATGAACTTGTCAGAAAATACCCATAAATAATGTATTTCTGATAGATTTTTCGATGTGTTTCAAACACTTTTGATGTAAATATGGTAGTTATTCACATCAAATTAACCAATAAAATTTGAGCTCAGAGCCACCAATTCCAACAGACCTCTTGAATCCCTAAAAATAAAACAGACACAAATATGTATAGTATTTAATCGAAATATATTTGTCTAATATCTACAAAGTGTGAACAATTGGTCTTAAGAAAGCAGACAAAAGGCACAAAATTAGTATTACTACAGAGAAGCATTCATGCTACTGGATTGTATGAATATTCCCAGAGTAGCACAGTAAACAATAAATTACGCATTGAGCAAAAATCAAATACATCATTTTCCCCTTGCTTTATATTCTAGTCATGTCTTGACCTCATTTGTAAAGGCTAAGGATTGAAATTCAACTGAAACCATGGGACACATTTGTGCAGACTCTATGGATGTTTTAATCACATTGGGTTGTTGTTTTTTTTTTTTCTTTTTCTTCTTTTTTGCAGAGTTTGGGTCAAACAATAGAGGTGCACTAAAAAGTTCACAGGAAATTCTTTTCTCTTTTCCCAAACTGAAAAGATTGAGGCTGTGGTTGTGCATGTTTGTATATGCATGCCTGTAACTTAATTCCTAAAGCCCTTTTTTTTTTTATCATAAAAGTAGTGAAGTCTCCATATGACTTGTTTTCTACTGTAAAAGCGGCAGCTTCTGAAAAATGTATGACGTGCTGTGAGCATGAGAAATTGTCAGAAAGGCTGTAGGGACAAGTAGATGGGAGGAAAATTCCAAGGTAGGCCTAGCTCTACGTTCTCCCAGAGGTGTTCCATTCTGGAAAGCTCTGGCATAAACCTTTAATAGCTTCCAGCAGGAAATAGCAGTTTACCTTTCTTGAGTATGGACAAAAAAAATGCTAAAGTGGGAATCACCACGATAATTTTGAAATGACAGCCACCAACATTACTACCAGGAATGGGCCACTTTCTACCAGATGGACATCAACTAGACGATGCCAACTCACCTTTGTTTTGACAGGAGTTGACTACATGAGAATACCTTTGTGAGTGCAAAACGTTTTTGGCAGAGTGAAAAATAGAAAACGTCAAACCTCATTGATAAAAAGGAGCTCATAATTACCCACTTAAATCTTGGTAAGTGCAATATTTACATGTGTAATAATATCCAGCAGACGTGTATATAATGCATGTGTGTGAACATATAGTGGAGTTCACACTGACCTGTGTACACGCACATGCCCCAAATGGCTCTTTGAATAAGTTCAATCCTATAGTAGAGTTTGGGGGTGCATTTTTCACAGTATATAATTTCTCCATCGGGTGCCATTTCCTGAATGATAACAAGAGGTCTCAGTGAATACCAGCAGAATCTTGATACTGTACCACTTTAATTCCTACAAAAACAGGGCTCTTTCTGAAGGCTCTGCACCTCCACCCCATCAGTGTGCCTTCCACAGGGGATTGAAGTATACCCAGCCATCACCCTGTAAGAGAAGGAAGGAGACATAACTTGGAGACCTCTCAGCAGGCAAAGGAGGAGAGAAGCAAGAAGAGTCCCAGCCTCTGCTAAGTTGGAAGCCGAGTCCCATGCAAAGCCGTGCTATTGGCATCTGTTCAGGACCACCACCCATGTGTGTCTGCTCCATCCTGGTACATCACAGCCACGCCAGGCTGACAGTCTCGCTACCCCTCCGCAGCCCAGCTGTGTTTTAGTGACCCTATAAGCTTTGCATCCTGGCCTTTCAGGAGGGAACCCCCCAAATGACCAAAATAACAAAAGGAGGGTTGGGCAGAGGGGGCTTCATTGGTTTATGTCAAGGAAAATGAGTTGGCAAAAAAAAAAAAAAAAAGAAAAAAGCTCTTTGAAATAGCAGGACAGGAAAAAAAAGGGGGTGTTGGATGAATAGACGGGATAGAAGGCAAGGGCCTGCATAAGAGAAATTTGCCCGAACCAGTGATTTACAGGGGAATGCTCTCAAAGGCCCTCCTGCAGCAGTCACAAATAAATCAGCACACACAAGAAATGACGCTGATCAAATATCAGTGAGAAAAAGACACGAGTCAAAATGGTATACACAATCTGGTGCTAGACTAGAAGGGGTATACTGAATGGTAATAATTCTGGTATGGGGGTGATTTTTATTCTTTGCGTATTCTCAGGCCTTCTGTTTTGAACATACTTGGCTTTCATTAAACCCAGCAGGAAGAATTAATGTGCTTTGTTGTCATTTGTGTTTTAATGTGCAACTTTCCATAGAAGCCAGGCAAACTAGTTGTCTTAGAGAGACCATATCCATCTCACAGAAGGATCCTGGAAGGATTCTGTAATGGCTAATTTTACACGTCAACTTGGCTGGCCACAGTGCCCAGATTAAACATGATTTCTGGGTGCATCTCTGAGGGTGTTTCTGGACGAGATTAGCATTTGAATTGGTACACTTTGCAAAGGACAGTTTTCTCCCCAATGTGAGTGAGCATCTTCCAATCCATTGAGAGCCTAAAAAGGTAGACACAGGAGGCATTTGCCCTTTTTTTCCTGACTCACTGCTTGAGTTGAGACATCTCATCTTCTCCTGCCCTGATTTAAACCATCAGCTCCCCTGGTCCTCAGGCCTTCGGACATGGCCTGGATTACACCACTGACTTTACTGGGGTCTCCAGCTTGCCAACAGCAGATCCTGGGGCTTTTCAGCCTCCATAATCTCATGAGCCAACTCCTCATAATAAATCTATATGTACTTATTTCTATTGGTTCTGTTTGTTCCGTTCTCTGGAGAACCCTAATACACATTCGCCCTACCTGAGGCTTCCAGACAGGGTTCTCACTGAGTCCTATAAAGATAGTTTCCCCAAGCAGGCTGCCTGTCTGAACCAAAATCCACCCCTGGAGTCTCCATTCAGTCCAGAGCCCCAGTTCCTGCCTCTGGGGAAGAGCAGCTGCTCCCTGCTCCTGAGCAGAAGCCCACCTCAGGGTTCCTAACTCATCCCGCAGTCTTCTAGCTACACAGAGTAATCCTTACTTAAAGCAGAAGTCAGACATTAGCAGCCCCTGAATCAAAGAAAGCCCAGATATCTTTCGATTGGCTCTCAGTGTTTAAATTTTAAAAATTCCTTAGCACCATGTGAACATCAGGTTTCTCATAAAAATTCCGTTTTCTGGCTTCTTGCAAAGAACTGGACAACCAGTTTGTGATCACCTTGAGGGAGGTGGCATCCTCCCCCTTTTAGATGTGGACGCAGCTGATGCAGCTCTGCCCCAGTCCTCACTGGCGCTGCCAGGCTCCTGAAAGCCTGCCTTAAAAACTGTGGCTCTTAAACTTCCATCATTTCCAGTTCTGTTCTCAGAATGCTTCCTATTGCTCCACGAACCACTTCAAGACTATAAGGACCTCAACTGGGCACACAGCGCCTTGCCCACTTGCCCTGTGGATGGGCAGTCATGTGGGTATTAATTTCTGCCTTCCATTGTCACTTTCCTAGGTGACAGCAGCAGGACTCATGTTGGCCTGTCCTAGCATGTCCAATCCATTCGGCCCACAGGAGGCAAAGCTCTGAAAGGGCAGTTCTCAGTCATGAAGGTTCCAGCCCATCCCAGCGTGGAAATAGGCTGTGAGGTGCTTCATGACTGACTGGTTGCTAATGCTAAAGTCGCAGGGGGTGTGAATGGTGTTTTGTTTTGTTTTTTTAAATAGGACAGCATCCAGATCTGAGCTCCCTTTCCTTGCCCTCCCTGGCAGATTGATGGGCTTTTCTGATAGAGGCTGCCAGAGAGGCAGTGTCAGGTACTCAGTTCTGCCCACAGGATGGCTGGCCCAAAGCTGGAGCCAGAGCCAAGCTGCCCCAGACCTTCCCAGGACCTCCCCTGCCCCGTCCTCATTCATCCACACTGTTGTATCTGCCCCTCACTCCAGATAAGCGCCCGAGGACAGGTGGCAGGGTTACCTCCTGGATAAAATACTTGGGTTGCCATGGGGTGCGGAGGTTCTCCCGCTTCCGTTCTTCCACCCGCTGCTTCTCTTCCAGGCGCCGCTTCTGCTCGGTGGCAGCATCGATGTCCCCCAGCCGCAGGTACTGGGTCACCTCCCGCCAGAGGTTCCTGGGGACGCATGGAAGAGAGGAAACTGGTCAGGTACAGCCAGCAGGTTTGAGGATGGCTGTCCTCAGCAGGGAAGGAGGCATCTGGGCAGACCATCGGCAGGGGTAGCTCATTCCAGATGCCACAAAGACTCCTGGGGCCAGGATTTGAACCCAGAGCTACCAGGCTCCAAATCCGTGCTGTTTCTACTCATCCTGCTCAGCATGCCTCTCAGTGTCTAGAGATTGAATCTAGAAATAACAGTAGTAGTAATAATACTACAATAATAGTAAATGCTTATATGGCATTTACTATATCTCTAAGCATTTTATATATATGTTTATATATATGTGTGTGTGTGTGTGTGTGTGTGTGTATACACACACACACATATATATATAAACATATATATATAAACATATATATATATATATACACACACACACACACATATATATATAAACAAACTCATGTGTCTTTTAGAACCACCCAATGATACTGATGCTATATTATCATCTCATTTTAAAGAGGAGAAAAACAAGGGCCATATAAGGTGAAGTGAATTGCCCAAGGTCACTGAGCTGATAACTATGAGCAATGGCTGCTTTTCCACAAGGGAAGCTGGTATTAGGAGTTACAGACCAGGGCGAGCGGGCGTGTGTGTTTATGCTGCAGGCTGTCGTCTCCCCACGTCTACATGCAAAGCTACTTCTCTGCTGCATTTATTCACTGTAGATGGCAGCCTAGATTGGCTCCTGTCTGATGTGGAGCTCTCCTCCTCGGGAATTCCCTGATTCATACACTGTTCTAGAGGGTGCGGGAAAGAACTGAGGTAGAGCAGGACACCATCCCCCATACACTTCCTCACTTAAACATATCAAGACAAGTCAGGATTTCACATAAAATGAACTATCTCATCCAACTAATTAGATTCTGGGCCACAGAGCACTCCCACAGCAGAGCGCCCTTGACCCTGTTCACGAGAGGGCGTGGCAGAGCAGGCAGCCTCGAGTGTTGGCAGGATCAGGCGGAGGAAGGGCAGGGGGCGCTGCCAGCAAAGCAGGGACAATGAGCAGCCCCTTCTGAAAGGGATCAGAATCAAGGAACTGACAAGGGTCAGGCTCCTGCTGCAAGCTCAGCCTGCCCACTTGTACACAGACCCAGGGACAGCGATGTGCTGGCTCCTATTTTAGAGCAGGAGAAGCTTCTGGAACTGGGATATAAAGCCAGGTGCGACTGGCCTCACAGCTCTCACTCTTTCTACTGTGCCATGATAGCTGACTTAAGAGGGCAAAAAAGACTGGCCAAAACAGCACAGTGAGGAGACGGAAGGAAACGGGCTGGGAGCGGGGTCACATCAGTCTTTTTTATCACCCACACCCTCAACACACATCTCGTGCTGAGGGAGGAGCTGGGCATGAGAACACCCAGGGTGGAGGGGTGCTCCAAGGGCAGGACTTCCCATGATAAGTTTCATCATAAGATAGTAGCCCCAAGTTTAGAAGGCAGATGCTCCCCACCCAGGGACTGGAGAGGAGGTGGTAGGACAAGAACTGGCCCCAGGTGTGTGCTCTGGCCAGACACACACAGGGACCCAACCGAGGGCACAACCTGAGAGTGAGGGGTGGCAGGGAAGGGCTGGGGGCTCAGCTAGGGAAGCCTCTGAACTTTAAGCCAAAAGAAACAGCAGAAAGGTAAAGAAGCCTTCAGGTGGGGAGGGTGGGAGCAGGCCAGTGAGAAAAGCAAAAAGGACGCCAAGGAGAGCGCTCCCTGAGAAGCGGAATTCATTATGGCAAACGGCTGGCAAGTGGCTGGGCAAGGGCGTGGCTGACATCACTGGGCGCCGGTTCTGCCTTTATTCACCAGGGCCCTGAGGGCTGCTTCCAAGGCAGGACGCCTGCTCAGACAAAGTCTGAACATCATGAGCAAATGCACAGACATGGGCAGACAAAACCTACCTGCACTCTTCTTCTAATGGGGCAGTGGTTCCCCTCCAAGGGGGCTAACTGGAGACCGGAGGCCTCGCCAGGACTGGCATCACTGTGAGTGCTGGGATAACTGGTCTAAACCCTGGCCTACCTAGCCAAGCAGATGGTCCCTCCTTTGCCTCTGCAGGTAAGACCTGGAAGACCCAGGAGGGTGAGTGGGCTCGGGTGCTTTGAGCAGCAAGGGAGCACCCGTACCAGCCACTCCACTTCCCAGGGCTATTTCCTCTGTGGAAAACAAAGTAGGCTGGGCTTGGTTTCCCTCTAGCTCAGCTTCATGTTTCAGTAAAGTCCACAAATGTAACACAGAAAGAGGTAGCAGCACCCTCCACCTTAATCCTTATATCAGACTCCATCCCCACTCCAGGCTGAATTCTGAGTTCCCCTGGGCTAACCAAGGCAGCAAAGAGTCTTAATGAGGAGTAGCTAACCTACTCTATGTCCTTGGAAGAAAAACACAAGGTAATCAGTTTTGTTCTCAACAGCCCAACCAGAAACAATCATCATGCCATGATATGAACCACAGGGTTCCTAACTCTGGGAAGGCTTCATCAGTGTGAGCAAGGGGATGGCTTTCTTTCCTGTCGCAGCCTGTCCCTTGTCCTGCTAGTACTGCCCAAGAGGCTGGGCTGAAAAAGCCAACGTGTGAGCGTTCACACCTTCCATGTGGTCACAGAGAAGGTTACACTCACCGTCCTTGAATAAAGAACGAGGAAGTGTGTGCTAATCCTACAACGGAGCAGAGGTTCCAGGGGTACTGAGGCCCTGGTTTTATTAAACTCAGTTATAACATACTGTTTATACACACTGTTGTATCTTCATTTTGTTTCCACATAACAAGCACTTTTCCCCTTGTTTACAAACTCTCCTGGGAAAGGCAAACCCGTTCAGGAATCATCTGTAAAATTTCATTTTAATCCTACATATTTCTACAAAGAGCAGCATATGCTTTTAAATAAGGACAGGGGTCGGCAAACAGTTTCTATAAAGGGCCAGCCAGACAGTACATATTTTTAGGCTTAGCAGGCCATATGGTCTGGGTCACAACTACTTCACTGCCATCGGAACAGGCAGGCAGCCATAAACAACATGTAAACCGACGATTATGGCTGTGTTCCCATAAATTTTTACAAATATCGGCCACAAGCTAGATCTGGCCTATGGGCCATAGTTTGCTGACCTCCTGGATTAAAAAATAAAAATGGTGTATTCCAAGAAGAGTCTGGCGTGTAACTGCATAAAACGTCCCTCGAAGTGGTTGCACTGTATTCACACTGCTGCATGGACGTGCTAACTGATCA